TGGACGGGAACATCTGGGTGAGACGGGACACATCGCACTCTGTGTACCGGATACACTGCCGGATCGTCTTCCCACCTGCAAACACAGAAGAAGAAGCTGTCACTAAAGAACCTGGCCTGAGTCGAAATAAAGATTTAAATACGTTTTCATCAGGATCATAGAAGGAGAGGAGGATTCTCCCATGAATAAAACATTCAAAACAGCTAAAAGAAGGCTTGGGTCTGGCCTTGGAAGTCTCCTAAACCCTACAATGTCATCATGGGACCTGCAACAGACTCCTGTCATTGTTAACATAAGCATGCATCTCTAAATATTGAGAAAGAGACAGAGTACACAATACGAACTTTCGATGGAGGCCTGCAATGAGTGAAGCTGGGCGGGAAGAGCAACATGAGAATGTTTTAAAACCCCAGAACCTCTGGAATAAACTTCCTTATAAATTAGATTAAAATCAAACTTGTTTAAACACCAAAACATAAGTTATGTTTGATATGAATCTAAAACAGTAGATCAGGAAGATTGCTTTATCAATTAGAAGACATAGAGGTGGAAGCAGTGGCGGCTGGCCAATAGAGGGTGCTAGAGTGCCGCCACACCCACCCAATGACCTTAATTAAGACATAAAAAAAAAACAAATTGAAATTAAATAAGATTAAAATATTCCTAAACATTGATATATATTTATTAGATGTGCAAGATAAATATTTAATCTTTGACGACTAAAGCCGTTTCGTTTTTTTGTCGGATTGGTGATGTATTTCAGCCCTGGGAAGCAAAAATCTTTGCTCACTGACTCTCGTTAAAAGTTATTCATGGGCAGTAGCTCCTCTGCAATACAGATGTGTAGGAGAGCTCTGGGCGCAAAAGAGCTGAGCGCAGAGGTGACAGGAATCGCCTTCACAGTTGAAGTGTTGCTGATTGAGAGGTCGAGACGCGGAAGTGAAGCCAACTTACCAAGAGATGCTGGAGGTGAAATTGTTTGGACCTAATCAGCCGAATATCAAAATGAATCAGCAGTCCAAAGACAGATGGAGACGGTACACTCTGTCTTTTTCCAGGAACTGGTTTGGCTACAAGGCTTGGCTAACTGCATGCAGTGAGGCTAATGCTTTATTCTACTGCCTTGACTACCTGCCTCCTTTTTCAAACGTCAGAATCTGACCCAGCATGGCTAAAGACAAATAGGACTGATTTAAAGCACTTCTAAGAAAAGGCAAAGAAGAATGAACAATCTGGGATTCCCATGGAAAATATATCATAGTGCACTTTTTCTAGATATTTGTTAATTTGCATAGTTGCTCTTAAATAACAGAACAAAAAATGTTTTTTATATATTGAAAAAAGTTAAAGCTAAGTTATAGCTTCTCCATTATTGAACTGGTTCATTGTTTTGTAGGTTTGTGACCCAATATTGGACCATACAAAATACAAATTTGGTCAAGATTAGGTTGTGGTTTGAGGACCCAAATGCAGAGGCAGGGAGGCAGAGGTGGGTTTCTTTTGATTTAATGAAAAGTTAACAGACAACTGAGGCAGGAATCCAAAAATCAAGCATTAAAAAAGTAAAACAAAAAAAGAAACTATGGAGACTTCAGGGGAGAACAATCAGGACGAGGAAGACACAGTAAGATGGAGTTGGAGGAAGTTAGACGAGGAACCAGCACTGAGGAGCTGCACAAGGAGAGTATTTATGGGAGACTGAACAAAGAGGGGACTAACGAGCAGACTGGGAGCAGGTGTGAACATAACAGACTGGAAAGGAGCTAGGGAAAAAGGAGAACACTAGAGGGCAGCAGAGGGCAACAAATAAAAACCTGAAAACCTAAAATATAACCTGAAAACACAACAAAATAAGAATTAAACCAATAAAACTAGAAAACATGGAGCAAAGTAAAACTGAATACTTAAAAGAAAAAAAACAGAACCAAGACTATGACAAATTTGCCTTTTCAAAGCCTCAGAAGGGCAATATTTATGTACAAAAAGGAAACCTGTACATGGAATTATGTTTTTGTCTTTATTGAGTGTTTTTATAATTTTTTTGTTGTTGGCATTTATTTAGATATACTAGTGTGGTAACTTAGTATAGGTTTGATTGGGTTTTGGTATATGTCTAATTTGAATTCATAGCCCCACTGGAGAAAGCTCCACTAGCTACCACTAAGTGAAAGTGCCATGATCTGGGCCAGGTAAAGAATACCACACTTTGAGTCCAAGAAAAAAAAAGACTTGTTAATTTATTAACAAGGAGCTAACTATTAAATTTCCTTTTTTTTTTTACTCTGATGGTAATTCCATGAAATCAGAGAACAAAGGTGGATGTTTCTGTGATGGACCAGCAGGAATATCCACAACCTCTACTATAAGTAGATACCATAGATTCCTACAGTACTAAAGTACCATAGGAAGTCAGGTCAGGGTGAATTTCTAACAGTCTGACCTGAGAGGAAAGCGCTACATCACTGATTAAGATGTCTGTTTCAAATGTTCCTCAAATAAAAGAGGATTCCACTTAACATTCACGATAAAGAAATTTGAAAAATGGTTGCATAAAAAATAAGGTAGGAAATAAATCATGATGTTCAGCAATTGAGTTGAGATATATGGTTTTCTTTCAGTATTTAAAACAAATCTGATCTTCCTTAGGGTTGCACACGTTTCCATGACAACAGAAAATGCTGAAGCTGAACTGACCTTGATCTTTCAGAGAGATGCACGAGTCTTCAAAGGTGCACTCCTGCACGTTCTCACAGCGTCCTGTGTAATCTGAACACTTGTAGCAGCGAAGCCCAGAACCTGAGGAAGAGGAGGAGAGGGCGTCAGGAGGAAGCTCAGCTCAGAAACTGGAAGATCGCTGAAGCCCAAAACAGCAGGGATGAAGTGAAGGTTCCCACTGTTCCCAGATCTGATGTTTTCCAAAGAAAATAACTCCTGACAGGCCGAACATAAAGCTTTGCCCTAAATGAAACCTTCATTTATTTATCAGAGAAAAAATAAACCCCTGATAAATCATTTACCTGAAACCTCAGATAAAAGTTGTAATATCTCTAAAATAAAAAATGTGAGGACTCATCTATAAATCAGGGTCTGAAAGCTGTTAGCATTTGACTCCTTTAGAACAAAACACGAAGCTCTGAGGGTCGATTTTGGATTTCATAATGAAATTAATCCCAATGTTGTTTCAAAGCTTTCAGTCCAGTGAAATATCAGCTTTCTGCCTTATTATAAAATAAACGGATGGAGAGGAGAGAGGAATAATAGCAGGAAAGCCTTGTTTTTGGTCCAGAAGAGAAAAATTACTAAACTCTTGGAAATGTTTTTCAAATAAATTAGTTTCAAATTGGATTTCTGATTTTCAAGCTAAAGATGAATTTAAGTTTTAAGCTTTATTTTTTGTTTTCCTCCATTTTCCTCCACAGTCTGTTTATAGAACAACATCTGGATGAAACCAAGTAATTTAAACTGCAGATCTGAAGTTCTAACCAAAGAAACTCGTCAAGCTTATTCAAAGGTTTCGTCTGGTTCAGAAATATCTGTGAAAATATTATCCCAGCTTCCTTTTGAAGTGATTCTTTAACTAATATTTGTTTCATTTGGATAAATTCTGTTTTGCTGTTTGATCTCTTCTGTTAGAGAAGGAATAAAAAGGAGATTACTGATTGTTTTCTCTTTCCCTCAAGTTTCCCCTTAAAGATTAGAGCTCCAGGTTCTGTTCACTGGTTCCACTCACCTACATGCACCATCCCAGAACAAAGCAGCAGAACCAGTCCAAGGCAGAGCTTCATGTCGTGTCCCAGTGGAGGAGCAGCTGAAGTGAAGCAGCAGTGTCCAGCTCGGTGTCGGTCTGTTCTGCTGTGACCCGCAGAGGACGTCTGACAGCAGCTCTTTGTCCAGTGGACCACAAAGACCGGCAATGTTTAGAAACCTCCTCCTCTCTCCTCGCTTCTGTGTATCTTTATTACTCTCCGGTCATAATTTTGCTTTGATGTTCATCATGTTCCCTCAGACAACATTTGGTTCTCTAACCCTGCTGTAGCTTAGAAGAAATATTTTAAAATTAGTAAAAAAAAAAAAATAATAATAATAATAATAGAGAAACCATAATAACAGTCTGGACTGTGTACCTTAAAAAATCCCAGTGAATTTTACTGAAAACACTTCTGACAATGTCTCACAGAGTTCAAAGAAAGTCCCAACAGACGTCCAAACGTCCCAAGAATTGTCCAAGAGATCGTTGCAGAGAACTTCCTAACAAACGCCACAGGGAACATCCCAACAACCCCGCCAAGGGTGTCCAAGCAGACATCCCAACAACTGTCCCGGAGAGGATCTAAGAGAACGTCCAACAAATGTTCCATCAAAAGTCCCAAAAACCCTCCCAACAGTATCCAAACAAACATCCCAACGGTCCCAGTGAACATTCCAAATTATGCCTTAATGAACGTCCCAAAGAACTTTCCAATAGACATACCACCATATTCTCCCACTCTGCAGAATCTGTTAGTTCAATCTCTAACATTATGCTCTCTCTGATTTTTCTCATAGTAGCTTTGCCTCGTTTGCTCCTGTTTGGCTGTGACTCCATCCTGAAGAGAAACATCAGCTGTGCTGCTGCCATCAACACCTTTGTTTATAGATGTTTTTCAGTGTAGTCCTGTTTCTCTGACTGTGACTGGCTGGATGTGCTCTCTTCATCTTCTGACATGGGAGTTGGCTCAGAGCTCGTCTGCCTGGCTGTGTGTTTCCTGGACGCCTTTTACAGCTGCTTTCTGTATCTCTGCTTCAGTCTCCTTGAACCCCAGTCGGCCTCAGCAGATGGCCGCTCACACTGAGCCTGGTTCTGATGGAGGTTTCTTCCTGTTAAAAGGGAGCTTTTCCTCTCCACTGTTGCTACAAGCATGCTTAGTGTAAGGGATTGCTGAAGAGTCAATGAGTCGATGCAATCAGCTGGTTTTCCTTATATAGAACCTTTGAATCAATTTGACTGTATGATCTGGTTGAACTGTAAAGTGTCTTGAGATGACATGTTGTGAATTGGCGCTATAGAAATAAACTGAATTGTAATACCAGAGAAAATTCCAGAGAACATCCCATCAAATGTCCCAAGCAACAACCAGAGACCATCCAAGATAATGCTCCGATGAACTTCCCAAAGAAAGTTTCAGAGAAAGTCCCAGTGAAGTTCCAAATGAACATCCCAGAGAATTTCACCTGTGAACATCACCTAAGACTTTGCCTCTAAGACTTTATCTGAGAACATCTGAGACAACACATCTATCAGTATCTTAAAGAATGTCCTGTAAAATTTAATTTGAAATAAACGTCCTGTATAATGCTTTAATAGCACCTGGTAGGATCTCTTTAAGTCTGTCCCAAACAGTTTTTCGGAAAATGTCCTAAGGGAGTTTCAGAGACTGTTTCAGAGAAAGTCTTTCGAGAACAGTTTTTTTTTTTTTTGACTTTTTTTCTAATCAGAAAACCTTTGTAAAAACATCATGTAAACGTCTTTAACTTCCATATCTGAATTCACACTGCATAATATTGGAAAGTGATCATTACCTACATTGCTATCATCATTTAAATTCCTTTCACATCTGTTACTCATGTTATTTGAAACCAGAGTAAGACCCAAACATGAGACTATATTTCCTGTTAGAAACACTCTAGTACCTTTTCCATTATTAAAACTTAAAAAGTGACCTTTACTCAGTTAATTAATCTGTATCATTACTTATCCATTAACTATTATAAGCATTGGTTTCTCCGCACCAAGCTTCTCTTCTACCAACATTTCCTAGAATGAAATGAAAATATTATTTCTGTCTTCTTTGAAACACTTTTACATCATCATTAAAATATTAAATAACTTAAAAACCCTTTTTAGCACATAGGTTTTTACTCTTACTTGAGTAATTTCTTTAAAGGCTACTTTTTTCTTTTACTTGAGTAAAGATATGATGAAGTAGTTCTACTTTTATTTACTTATTGTGTATTCTAGCCACCTCTATGTCTATCCAGTCTAACAAGCAGCGTTTTGAAATCTCAGCTGAGATGATTTGTGTGGCGTCTCTGAGTTTGTGCTCAGACCAGGAAGGGGGGCTGAGTTGGTAACAGACGGGACCATCGGCAGCAGCTCACAGAGGGACGACTGTTATTCCAGCAGCTGCAGCAGCAAACATGCTTTACTATGAAAACTTTCCCTGAAGTTAACATAGGAGCATTGATCTAGTCAGCACCAACTGATTCAGTTTAATTCAATTTAATAATTCATCCTGCATGAGGGAACTGATTTATTCATGATACAAGTTATTTAACCCTTGAATTATAATATTCACAGAAAAGTTGTTTGTATTTTAAACTCTGACAGGAGCAAACATCAGATATGGACCAAAAGAGGAATATTCTTTTATTAGAAAGCTTTTTCTATGGACTTCAGTGGCAGGAAAACATGTATATTTATTTATGCAAATTAAGTGATTTTTTTTAGAACAAAGTTTAAGTCATGTAAAAAAAAACTAAATAGGATTAGAAAGTCCTTCAAAATAAAATCTGTAAAAACCCTTTAGTGCCGTCTCAGAGCCTCCAGGAAGCTCCTGCTGCTGTTGATGCACAGCTTCACAGCTGTATAACCAGAACGCCAACGGCAAAGCCTCACTTCTGTAGGAGGAAACTTTCACTTTCCAAGAAAAATACAAACTCCAGACTGAATTTTACCATAAAATAGGCCAACAAGGACCTGCCAGGACTTTTATTATGGGGATATGAGATCAGAACAAAGGGAAAGTTTAGCTCAAATTAAACTAATTATTCCCTGAAATAATCTTTAAACAGAATGTGAGGCATGGGTAACGGTTTTGACGTTAAACTCCTCTGCTGCTCATTAAATCTAACATGGATCCCATCATATATCAGAGCTTGAAGAACATGTGAGACCATCTAAAAGACCGGCTTGAATCTTAGAAACGTAATGCAGAGAAGAAACCATTTCTCAGCTCCATCATCGAGCTACTAGGACCTTCACCTGCTTTTCATGTTGACATTACCATGGCAACCTGAAGTAAATATTTATACATTTTGAATGCATATAACATATTTATTTACTTATTTATATAGTGCATATTTTTTCTCAGTAAACGTATAAATTCCATGCTGCTCCACTCTTGAGGTTCTGTGGATTCATTATTTTTGGAAAAAAATCATTATTTTGATGTAAAAGTTCAAGTTGTGAGCTTTTACTTTTTAGTAATAGTTTTAGTAATTTGTCTCTGATTAAAGCTTAAGTTTCAATCAGTGTGAACCTCCTGGATTGGGGGAACAACTGCAGTGAGGGGCCGCAGAAAATCAGTTGAGGGGCTGCAAATGACCCCCAGGTCTCACTTTTGACACCTCTGACCAAAAGAAACCTGAAGAGAGTGAGATCCAAGATCCAGACGCCATGGGTTAGGCTGATGGTGCACCTATAAGAGGAGAACAGTTCAATAAGTGACATTTGCTGTGAAGATCAGAGACGCTCCTTCTGTGAGTCATTTCGTGCTTCAGAGGCCGTTCACCACGCCTGCAGACAAAGAACACATTCAGCCCAGATCCACCAGCTGACTGCAGCAGCTGAACACGGAGCAAACTCAGCAGCTCAGCACAAAATCAAACATCATATTTCATAGAAAAACTCTGGGTCAAAGAATTTCCTCTGCTTTGTCTGTGCTGGGTGAGATTTCTCCTCAGTGCTTCCAGGTCCTGACTGGAGTCCAAGTGGTTAGAAAACTTGGCAGGAAGCCATTTTGTGTTTTTGACAAATGTTCGCCAGTCGCCGTCTCCTAGAGACAAACTGCTCCTTGTAATAATTTAGTTCTGTTTGCTGGATAAATTGTTTATTGAATGGAGGCTGTGTTCAGAACCTCTGACCCGACTGGGGCCGTCACTGACCCACTGGGTCCCTCTCAAGGCTCTATGCAGTTCTCTAATAAAGGAGCAGTTCAGTGCTTGACTCTCAGCTCCAAGACTGATTGCAAACCTCCTCATCAGTGGTCAGATTCTTGGAACTTGAAATTCGTTGGATTTTTAAAACAAAGCAAGGATCCAACAGAAACGAACATAAACTGTTTTTGCAATGCAAGTACCAAGATACTTTTCTCTAACCTCACGCCTATAGGAAGCTGTGGGCCGTTTTGAAAAAAGCATTTAGGTCTCAGGGACGTGCTGTATGTCCAATATTTAATTCAGTTCAGTTTATTTCTATAGCGCCAATTCACAACACATGTCATCTCAAGGCACTGTACAATTCAACAAGATCATACAGTCAAATCGATTGAAAGTTTTCTATCTAAGGAAAACCAGTTGATTGCATCGACTGATT